AGTGAGAGTTATATAAGCAGATGATGTTATTCTGAAATGCCAGAATAATCATTGCTCTTTTTTTTTTTCAAGCAGAAGACGGCATACGAGATGTTGCGGCGTGACTGGAGTTCAGACGTGTGCTGGGGGGGAGTGAGAGTTATATAAGCAGATGATGTTATTCTGAAATGCCAGAATAATCATTGCTCTGCAATAGACAGAAATTTCTTCCCAAAATTGAAGAAAATGTCTGGTTTTTCCCCATTCTTTTAGTTTGTTTTTTTTTTTTGGCAGAACCAGGGATTGAACTCAGGCCCTTGCTCTTGCCAGGCAAGCGCTAATTCTACTTAGCCATCTCCCCGGCCCCCTGAGGCTCAGTTTGTTTTTTTTTTTGTTTTTCTTTTTCCCATTCTTTTAGTGACAGTACAGTAAGATTAAATTTAAATAGGGAACAGACAAAAGTAGTAGGTAGCTCATTTTTAAGGGTGGTTGATATAGTTTATACACAAGTAGGTTACTGTTTATGTGCATACTGTTTACTGCCATCCAGATATATTTGTACTTGCATTTTAATATATCAAATCTACAGAAAAAAATAATTATATTTAATATCTCATAATGTTATTATTCTTAGATGAGGTGCCCCCAAGATACATTATTCATTTAAAAAATTACAAATCCAATAGCATTAATGGTGAAACAACTAATTTGTTGTTCAAACAACTAATCCCTTTGATAATAAAGGAAACACAGTGACCTCAGACAAAAGGGAAGAAAAAGCTTAAATCTCTGAGTAGACAGACTTAGTGCAACCTGTGAAGAAAAACAAATAGCAAAGCAATAGAAAACAAAATTCTTAAATACAGTGAATAAAGGTAGAACTAGAAAAGAAAAGGGAAGCAGCCCAGGCAAAGTCACGCTTCACAAGCTTTCTCTTGGAGGCTGTCCTCAGTTCAGTTGGACATCTGGATAGGATTCACACAGAAGCCAGCAGTCTCAGCAGCTCAATAAACCAGAAGTAGGAGCCTTTCATTGCTAGAATACCTAGAAATTGGGAAAGGAAACCCATGAAGGGAGAGAACAACAGAGGGAGAAGTTCCCTTGCCTACATCTTTTTTATCTTTGGATGCGTTTTGAGTAGAAAAGAATCTACTGGAAAACAAGAGCTGAGAAGCTCAAAGACTCAAATGAAGATTTTTAGCTTCTTCGGTCTGGGGGGAAAAGGTTTAGGATTCAACTCCATTTATTTTAGGATGAAATGGTAAACAGAAGGGGTCCCCACTTGAACTCCAGAAGGGCCACACAAAAGGATGAAGACTTTCTGCCCAGACCAAGAGCTATGCCCTGGAACTCCAGCCAAATCTTAGCTAAACCAGCTCTGACAAAGACTAAAAGTAAGGTTCAGCAAAATCAAAGTAATTCACTCACAATTTACTACTAGAACACAACTCAGAGAAAGATAGTCTAATACAGAGACTCTATAACACATCATCCAGTTTGTATTTAAAAAAATTACTAGACATGTCAATAAGCAGGAAATCTATTAATACATAGAAAACCCAAATTATTCACCTTTGAAGTTAGAAAACACATTCAAAAAGTATTGAGAGGTGGGTGGTACAGGTGGGACTCTTAAAAGGTTATTAGGTCAGGTGTGCTCTATAACCATTGATGGATTAATGGATTATGTCAAGAGAGGGTCTTGTAACAAAAGCCCACCTTGGCTTTATATCACCATGTGATATCCTTTTCCATGGTGGTGCCACAAGAAAGCTAAACAAATGACAGTGCCACATGTTTGGATTTCACAGTCTGTAGAACTGGGAGATAAATAAATTTCTGCTTTTTATAAATTATCCATTTTGTGGAATTTTATTCATTTTGTGGTGTAGAAAATAGATTATAACAAAGGATACATTTTCAAAATTTGTAAGGAACTCAACTCAATATCAAGAAATAAGTAGTTTTAAATGACAAAGAAGAGCATAGGGACACATATCTGTCATGCCAGCAGTTGGAAAGATGGAGACAGAGGATTGCAAATTTGAGGCTATCCTCAGCTATAC